TTTAAGAAGCCCGAGATGGTTTCCTCACAAGGCTTATATACCCATAAGAGGTTTGTGGATAATAATAATACCGTTAGAAATGAATTGTTATCAAACATTCATTTGTGTGAAACTAGTGATGATTTTGTGTATTTTATATATATTAAAGAGCAATTTGTTAAACATGTGTACATTCATGCGGGACATGCTCCACATTCGATGTCATTCATATTCATACCTACTGGCTAATGGTGCATACTAGTTGCAAGTATGAAGTTTCGCATAAGGTAAAAGACCACTTCTTTGAAGTGTAGTGATTATAATTTGTTGAAATCAACACAACCAATGTAGGTGACATGATGTCGCAAGATATTTTCCTCTAAAAAATTCCTCACAAGGAGACAAACAGTGAGTTATGCTCATGTGACTATTAGGGAGAACATTAGTTGTAACAACTAAAATGGTTAATAGTTAATAAACAAGAGTTCAATACTTGATAATCAACGAAAATATTCTTAAAAAGATGAGATCAGATATCCATCTTCAGAATTTCCAGCAATCCTACCAAGAAGGCAGTCAGAAGTTAACAGTCATACACAGAGCTTAGTCAAACCTGACCTCATTGTCAACAGTTCGGCAACATGCAATAGAAAAATTCATTAGTAAACGGTAAGTCTTTAATCGAAGTCTTGTAGTAAATATCCAGATGGAGAAGACCAAAAAACATAACGTATAGTTAAAAGAAATCTGAATTAAGGTTAAAAAACACAACAGGGTGAAGGAACAAGTAAATGACAGTACTGTCAATCAATATTCTTTAGAGGGGTTCTTTCCATTACAATCCGTGTTCGGCTTCTTGTTACTCCGGTTTGCCTAATTATAGTGGCGAAATCAGACGAAAGATTTTTATTCATAGCATATTCATCTGTTCTTTCGGAGTGGAATCAGATCAACGAGACACTAGGGAAGGTTATATATATATATATATATATATATATATATATATATATATATATATATATATATATATATATAGCTTTTTGATTACCTAGGCGGGAAATCACAATCGATCATAGTTTGCTTCACTCTGCCTGATTATTTTAGCACAAGAAATAAATCTCTACTGCAGGCACAACTTCGAGCGGCAGCTGGATCAGGGAAGTTTTTGCAGTTGAATGGGACGAGATGGTTAGTGTTTTTCCTAAGTTTACTTTCCTAATATGTGTGAATTCGGACGCGGCAGTCATTTAAAAAGGCTATTTTACTGGTGGATTACAGTTGTCATGAACAAGTCCATGTCTAATAATAGTAATGCATCGTTTAGTTCGAATACTAGGCTCGACTAAGCTCTCGAAATATGAGTATATACTAAATATTTTGTGGTCTGGACACGCTCATAATGACGTATTTATAGTATCACGTCAAAGTGTAATGCGAAAAGAAGTTTATTCAGAAGACGGTTTATTGAAATGACTTTCTTTTGCGACTCAGCGGGAAATTTTATTAGATTGAAGGTATTCGGACATGCGATGGAAATTAGAAAAGACAAAAAAGTTGCTTCATGAGTACTTTGTAGATACTCTTTATCCATACTAGTTGTTACGGTTATTTATAATGATAATTTATTCTCAAATAACAGTCTGTCACATGAGGCATGCCATTTTACAGGCATGATCAAATTGTTACTGAAGGTAAAGTCTCCACTGCGGTGGGTTACTCAGTCAGTTTGATATTTTATAAGGTACACTGATCATAAAATTATGTAAGATAAAACTTCGCACATATGAATGCAAATAATATCAGGAAGATTCGTATTGTCAATATGACAGTTGCCGCACTCTATGGAGATTGCGTTGCGACATGAAGCTGATAGTCGGAAGTAAATCCGCGCAATTTTGGGAGCTTTTATGAATCGTAGTGCTATATCCCTCTGGAACATCTGAGGCACTAATAATGGCGCAGGATGAAGTAACCCGTTCCATATGCATTATCGGTGGCATATCCTCAAAGAGGGAAAAAAATAAAGGACGAGAAGAAAATCATGCAGTGATATTATTACTATTATTCACAGACATCTTATGGGTACATAGGTGTTGTGAAGAAACCATTTCGGGTTTCTTCAAAAATGCAATAATACACAAGTTTCAATAATGTTAGACGTCGTAATGAATCCAAGTGCTTGCTTCGAAAAACAATAATTATTTCAAATATATAAACAATTTTTGATAACTCAGAAATGACTCTGTATATTAATTAGAAAATCATGTTAAGCAAACTAGTTTTTAGATCCTAAGTGCTTCTTGAACTTGCAGCAATACTGAAAAGGTTGGTCGATAATACTAAGTGATTTAGGTGCTCATGACGATTTTGTCTCAAGCTACCTTGCGCAGCGGATTTTAAGTGTGATCTGAAGTCCTTCTGTTGTCAAAAATGTACTCACGGAACTCCATCTTAAAATATTTTTACTCCCGTATCCGGGCACGGTGCATGAAAAGTTGTTTCAGTATCCTAGAGGTACTAGAATGACACGTTCGGAAAGAAAATCATTAAGGAGACTTCTGAACCGGGCTGTAGTTTCGCTGCAACGGAGGTTAACTGGCAGTCTGTTCTACATGGTTGAGCAGCGAATAACGAAAAAATTATGGCGCAAGTTTGTGTGGGTTCCTAAAATCGCTAGAATATTTTCCTTACTGCGTAGATTGTGGGATGATATCATAGAGCATGAATGGGTGGATACCGAAGAGTAGGAAACACCGTTAATAAGCCGGTAGATAAAGACAAGGTTTAATTTGATACATCAGATCCTGAGAGGTTCTAATTTGAGTTGTTGACATGTTTGGTGATAGTCTTTGTAGTCGGAATACCCCAGTACAGCTTTGGTGAACCACCTTAAATTTTAATCAAGTCATTATGCCTGCAATTACTGTAAGCTAAAATGCCATATTCAGGAATGGGTAAGATACATTTTCTGTATAATACTAATCTCGATTCGGCACTATCAAAATTTATCCTTGTGAGTTCGATGAGCTCTCTAGCTTTGGATACTTGAGATGCAATGTGCTCAGAAAAGTTCAGACTGTTGCTATATCATAAATCCAAGTCACGAACAGTGTTGAGAGGTTGTTTAAGAAATTGTTTGTTTTCACAAGTGCCGTTATGGTCTTTTCGACTATTCTTTCCAGTATTTTAACTACGACAATGCTGAGACTGACAGGTCTGTTGTTCTATGCAATTTGTCTTGCTCCCCTTTTATGTGTTGGAGTGACGATTGCAACACTTCTGTTCGTAGGTAACACACCTTGGTCAAGTGACATATCGAATATCACAGTTGGTGGGGCTGCAGTATATTATGCCATTTGTGTTGGGATTTCGGGGTGTAGTTCATCCTATCCTGTTGACTTTTCAGTGTCTAAAGTGCCAAGAGTCTTAAGTACATCGTCTTGATGAAAGTCCACGATGAAGAGATGGACTGTTGACTTTGTATTTGAGTCAAGTCCTTCGTCTAGAAGTGATTCCTGACTGAAAAATGCCTCAAGATGGTTTGCCATAGCCTGTGCTTCTTCCTGATCATCCTCTACCATCCCAGCTCCACTCCATTAATTAGGTTGGGAATCCAATGCTGAGTCCTTTTTCTGTCATTTATATACGATAGTAGTCTTTTCGTCTGCGTGAACACAGATTGTACCGACTTCATTCCATATTTCCTGTGAGCTTCCCGTATTGTGATTATGCACTTATTTCTCGCCAGCTTGTAGAGTTCCATATTGCTTGCTGTATCAAGGTTGATCGTAACGTTCCAAAATTTCTTCTTTTGTCTTAGTAAACGTCGAAGTCTCCAGCCTATCCAGGAATGGCCTTGTTTCTTCTACGGGACTGACCAGGGTATATACGGTTGAGTTACCCGATTATGTAACTGCCCGAAATGAGTCCATGTTTCTTCTGCTGATGCCCTTGAGTCAATTTCCCAGTTTTTAGCCGATGCCACAGAGTTGATTGTCTCCATATCATATGTTAGGACAGGTCAGCAAAACAGTTTGACAGGCCATATCAGCCATGAATTTGAATAAGATGATTGCATGATCACTTCTTCTCAGAGGCGGGAGGGTAGTCATCTGACCACAGCATGCTCTGCACAACTTACGTGATAGTGGCCTGCAGCACATTTTATATGCAGCTGGTGTGATTCCGGTGCACACACTGTGATAGCAGTTATTGCAGTCGTCACATTGCACTCCATCATCAACAGAGAAATAGATCGCAGGTCTGCCACAAATTTGTTTTGTGACTTCACAGGAAGAATAACAGAGGAAACTGATCTCTGGTAATGGTGTTTTTTAGGGCTTGACAGGTGATAGACACTGAACACAAACAAAAACAGAGGTTTGTGTATTACTGTACTTAACAACAAGGAAGAAATTCGGCCTCTGTAGTTACAAAAAGACCTTGAAACATTTGGATACAAACATACTAAAAGATATACTCAAAAAGGAGAAAATACCAGTGCCGTTTTGTGTCTGTACTCAAAAAGTTCAGACGATGAACTTCTCTAGAATAAAGTTATACTTTTGGAGATAACTTTAACTGAAATAAATTCAGTTCAGGCGGCTAGTCTGGACTAGTACTTAAACAATCAATACCATACCATATAAAATATATACCACTGTCCTTTTTAAATAGCGCGACTAATGTTTAACTACGACACTGTAAACCGCAAATTTATGGAACATTCCTATTGAACTATAAACATCCGGATTTGTTATCTACCTAGTGCTTTTCAACAAGATATTTTGGTAATAATCGCCTTTTTTAATGGATCAAGTATGTTACGTATGGTATGACCTGAAACCGCCACGTTCGAATGTCTCACGAGTTATTGTCAAACCTCAGTTGCAATGAGGTTTGCTAACTTTTTTGGCCTTACGATTATCAACTTGTTTTGGATAGACTTTCACTATGCATATCCTTCCACTTCCAAAAACAGCAACCCCACCAATTTTAGGCGTTGGTTAAACCTCTTAAATATGGATATGTCTAGTAGTGACAAGAAATTGCTTGCTAACTCGATTTATGACATGTTTAGTTTCGCATATGATAGTTACTTAAAATATGGGTTCCCTTATGATGAACTAAACCCGATTGACTGCGTTGGCCGTGGTTATGATCACGAAAATCCTGATAATATAAATGTGAACGATGCTCTTGGTGACTATCTACTTACGCTTATAGACTCTCTCGATACATTGGCAGTAAGTGATATACAGTTATTTACTTAGACTTCAGATCATGGGCAAAACCGAAGATTTTAGAAATGCAGTTAGTTTAGTAATAAAACACCTTTCGTTTAATCAAAAGACAAGGGTTCAAGTTTTCGAAGCAACTATTAGGTAAGCTACTAGTCAATTGTATTGTCTCAGAGTTCTAGGAGGTCTTTTATCAGCACATATAATCATTACAGACCCAACTGAGTCATTTGGCCATCTGCGACCACCGGGATATGATGATGAATTACTGAACCATGCACATAATCTAGCGAACCGGATGCTGAACGCTCTTTACGTAAGTTTTCCTCTTAACACTTTTAACAATCATCTATCAACCTGTAAGTAATTCGGATTCCGTATAAGATCCACCAGGGCTTTCTCAAAGATGACCAGACCAGGTTAAACTTTAAAGCTGTCTTCAGTAATAAGGATACTAGGTTGGTGAACATGTGTTAATCCTGACAAATTGCCTTCCAGTGAAGACCCAGCTTCTCCCTAAAAATACTCACTGGTGGGGCTGGTACCACTTGTTCGGATAAGGCGTTCCGGCGATTGAATACTCGATGAAAGAATCGGGACCCCACATTAAGTTTATTAGGTCGCAGTTTATGAACCTTCTTGCTATGATCTCAGAGATTGTTAGTGCTGGACGGAGCGAGAAGAAAAGATATATTAACACCCAAATCATGATCTAAGTTATGAAATGCCAGTATAAAGTCACGGTGAAACTCTAGTTAATGGACGACCTTTGAACGAATTGTTAAGTGACCTTGAGGACATTAGCCAATCAGAAGAGAGTTAGTACAAAGTAAAAATATATTATAAAAAAGTGATGAATTACAATGGATATTCTTCTTTTACATTATTTAAGAACTCGTTGAGGTTTGATATAGGTTCAGAATTTTCGAAATCATAGTGGATGCGGTATAAGAACTCGTCCATATGACTCCATAATAATCGTCCTCTGGAGCCGTGGTAGGAACTTAAAAAATACTTCAGCCTAGACCACATGCCCTCAATGTTGTTTGTATGGACCCCCGTCGTTGGGTCAACAAAATGACGTTTGTACACCACAACATGATGCACAAAACCAAGTCTCGATAGGCATCTATACGCTTTCCAATCATCGGTATAGCCGCAGCTAATGTTACTGGAGACTTTATGATCCAATTTGCAACGATTATCATGGTTTGTCTTAGCCTTAGCCGTGACCGTGCAGAAAAAGTGTCAGTTCGAGCAGATTTTTTTCTACAACATATAGTACAACGAAATACAATGTCATCGCGGCAGTCTGCACATCGTGCTGCGGTCATTTAATTGCCGCAGTCACAGACACAGGGACATCCTAATAGTCCCATCTGCTGTAATCTCTCAACGATCACATATTCTCTAAAATCTGCTGTAAAACGATCGAATGTGAGTATCCTGCACTGAACTTAGCACCATGACCTTGAAATTCCTTAAACGCTTCTGATTGGCTCGTCCATAAATTAAAGTCCTACCCTAGGCGAAGTGACCATAACGCACGAAAACCTTTGACAACAGCTGCATTGCAATGCGTAGTTTTTTTCAAGTTATGGCTTATTATTACTACTAAGTCTCTATGTTCTTGAATGCGTTGAAGAGATGTACCATCATTAGTATAATGGTAACTATTACCATGTCCGATGTGCATGAGTACTTCTAAGCACCAACCTCCAGCCCGTCTAACTAAATCGTCTAAGTCAGCTTGGAGATCCAAATGACCAGCCTCACGTTTTGTTGTTCTCCAGATTTTTACTTCATGCGCAAACAATAATGTCGACGATTTAAGCAACAGTAATGTGGCTAAGGAAATGTAAAGGGCTAAAGATGGTGTCTTTAGGTACATCATTTTTGACTGGCTTGCATTCGGATAGCGTTCCACTGATCCTTAAGGATCAATCACATAAGAAGTTTCCTATCTATTCTTGTACAGCACTTGTTATTCCGAAACTCGAGAGCTTCTGCATAAGACCTGAGTGTGAAACGTTGTCAAATGCTTTGCTAAAATCTATGAATATCACATCGACAGACAGACCGTTATCTAAGACTACTGTCCAATCCTCTCTCGCAATAAGCAAGTTAGTCAAGCATGAACGCTTGTTACGAAATCCATGTTGCTCGAGATTTAAGAGATTGTGTGAATCTATGTGGCTTAACAACGTAACCTGAATTATCTTTTCAAGTAACCTAACTGCAATGCTAGTTAGACTGGCAGGCCGGTAGTTAGATACGATCTGTTTCTGACCATCCTTAATATATACTGTTGTAAGGAGATACCACCGAACTATGTACACTTCGTTTAATATAAATCAATGTGACTGGTGATTCTGGTATACTTTGTTAAGAGTAATCCTCCTGAGCCATGTTCTATTAATCACCTCTGGTTCCTCCCATACTTGCTTAATTTTTCGAAAATCGGATTCATCTCATTTAGATGATGACATTACTAGGTGTAACTCACCAAGTTCAAATTTGTATATTTTATTTCGAGCCGTACTTTTAGTTATAAGAGCTAGTCATACTACCCGGCTTCCCAGACTATAGTAGCTCGATTGGGTTTCTAACCTGAAATATGGTCGTTTAAGGTTGAGTGTCTTTACCGCCTGCCCAACGCTCTGATAAGCTCTTTAAAGAATGCCAGGAATCAGCTAAACCGTTATTTTGAGTGTTCTGTTTGGTTATTTGCAAGGGTGGGTAATTTTCCATGTTTTTAGTCAGTTCCGGAACGTTATTTCGAACCCTACTTTCGGCTTTTGAACACCATTTTGACGCTATTGTATTTATTCGTTTCATGCTTTGATTTCAAGGACACACCAACTGGGATACCTTACCCCAGATTTCACCTAGATTCTGGCCTGAAAGATAATACAACAACTGAAAACTGCCTTGCTGGTGCTGGCTCCTTATTACTAGAATTCGGCTCCTTAAGTGCATTACTCAATGATTCTAGTTACGCTTCGATAGCTCGCCGCATTGTTTTAAATCTATGGAAAAAGCGTTCAAGTGTTTCTGGACTTTTCGGTAAGTCTTACCTTCTTGTCTGTTGTTTATGGTCCAATAACTCACTTTATTTTTTTGCAAATATTTAGTCAGCACATGCAAGTAAATAATTAAATGGCTCTTACTCTATTAGATTCCATTTGACTCACTTGTGTCTTACCAAATATTGTCATGTTTTAGTATTAGTACGATTATGTTATATGCATGTATATTATTATATATCATTATTTGAAGGTTTATTCAGAATTATTAACAATATTGGTTATCCGATTTAAAAAGATCCTCTTACATTGTATTCGCTTACTTATGTTCAATATGTATTATTAATTTGTGATAGTTGCATAAGAGATTACATTATATGGTCTTGTATTTCAAACTTCTTGCTACCTGAACAATCAACTAGGTGTGAAAAGTGTTAATACTAATCATGAGATTAGTAAACGATAATAAAAACGAAAACAAAAAAGGACTAATAGAGTGAAGATATTTCTTCTCAATAAGTTTTTGATCACGAAATAATACTGATCATGTAATTACATGACTCAATAATGGGAATTTTCACTAGTTTTGAAAATAGTCATTTTTACTTTTGCGAATAGTTTGTTGTCGTTTGTATTACTCATACATATTAAGATGCTTTATTGTCATAAATTATGCCACTTCTGAATTAATCAGCAATTAATTAATGGGGTAGTAAAACAATTAGTTTTAAAAACACACTTATGTTACTTTCAGCGCTTGAAGTCACTAATTTCTGGTCTGAGCCATGTTGGTAGATACAGACTGCTTAGTTGGGGTCCGCGTGGCTATCATAATCAGTGGTTAGAGACTCTTGGTGACATAGCTCAGGATCGATCACAATGGCGTAGGTGTATACACTCTGTCTTCCCTTAAACTATAAAAATTAAAATCTCTTCATATCTTTCTATGAACTAATTCTTTCTTCCTGTACTATATCCTTATACACAATCTTTCTTTTATATATTACTAGCATTGAAGTAACTTCTGCTATGAATCCGGTGTTCACCTTATTGTGCTAATGAGGTATGGTAACTTGGACCGATGTACATATGTGCCTGAGTTACATCTTTTCTTTATGTTCTTCAGCATGAGAACTTGTGCAAATGTAATTTTTCTTACATTAAATTAATACAAAACATTTCAGTTTATTTTTACATTTATTTAGTACCCATTTATTTAGCTGTTTTGTTCCTCAAAATTTCAATTATCAAATAACTGTATAGTTTACAATATAAGCATCTGACACTTCAACTTCTTTTTAAAAATCTAAAAGACATTCATGACTCTTTCATTTTCTAAGATCTTTTGTTTGTATTGGAAAAGTTTTCCAGATCAGTGTTTGATCTACATTTAATAATCAATTAAGCTAAAATGCTTTATTTCGAACCGTTTGTTTGTTTCTTGTTTCAGTTAAAATTTACATTAATTCTCATTCGTTTCTCTCATTTGACTAAAAAGGTTATATGGTACAATTTTAAAATAATAAAGGAATGAATATCAACTAGCACTGATCTAATTTTCATTACAATCATATATAACAGTTATAACCAGATACGAAAAAATCAAGTCAGATTTAGACAAATCTTTAAACTATAAAAATCTCAACTCAATTTCGTGATAGCTTAATATTTCCTTTGTATATTATCAGTCCTTGAAGCCTTCCAATCTCATTCTAATTTATGTAAGCTTGCAATATACAACTCGGAGGATGTTAAACTGGCAATTCTCTTTCTTCATTTTACTTCTTTCTATCATCTGTTCTGTTAATTAGTTTTATGGTCGTTTATATTTTATTCTCCTAAATGATAGGTGAATTTCAGTGTCGAAAAGTAAGATCGATCAGCTTTTATATTTTAATATCTAATTGAGAGTTTGTTGGGAATGTGTAATCCAATAGTTAAAACTTATGAGAAGCGAATCATTTTCGTCTAGGTTGAAATTTTATTACAGTAAATTGTTCAGTAATAAACATGATTGATAGAATTACATTTCATTTGTAAGACGATTTATGTTAGTAATGAATGCGCCTGATTTGAATATTCTAATAGTTTTTTATTAATATATAGTCGATAAACTTATTGTATATTGATTGTTCATACTGAGTTAACATGAGAAAGTTTGGTGTACTAAACTGTTGTTTTTATTCGAGTTAGTGGACGAAGAAAAGAAGCGAATAGAAGTAGCTTTGTTCACAGTATTAGAGTAGTGAATTATTCACACAGCTTAAGGATATATCAAAGTTAAATGTTTCATCAAATTTTTCTGTGCATACATAACTGTCCAATGTGGTCTTGTGATATTCTTTGAATAATCGGCTTATAATTCATGTTTATATTGTTTGCTTGAGTCTTCCCATTGATGTTTAGAACTGCAGTTGATTTAAACAAACATTTAAAAAAAGGAATTTAAACTTCGCCCCGTTGCGTAAGCTAGTAGCTATCTGGACTCAGTAGCTAAATGCATAATATGATGATGTTTGAAGCGGATGTTTCTGGGTTGGAGTCCTGGAGTGAACATCAACTCTGAAATCCAGGTATATCCAGCTGACGAGTCCTAAGTAGGACGAAATGCGGGTCCTGGATTCCAACGCTAACTACCATTCATGTTTGCTTATAATCGGCTTGTATTTTTTTGCGAAACGTTAGGGTTCACTTCTCGATGTATTGTAAGATTACAAATATTGTCCATTTATCAAAGTAACTATGATTTACTCTGGTCAGTTTAAATCTTAGGGATCAGTTACTGTAAATTATGAACATTTTATAAGGTTTTTAAATTTAAGTCTTTTCATCGTGGGCCATCATGGATTGGTAGCCTAATTAGTTAAAGCATACAAATTTTAACCAATAGATTTCACGTTGCAGCCTCTCCACTTGTTTCCCTCAAAGCGATTGAAGAAAACCACTCCTGATAAAACAATTACATTGAAATGTATGCTGTAATTATTTTGTTACACATTGTTCAAATTAGTTGAATCAGTGCTGGACACTTTTCATAAAGTTGATCGGGAAATAGGTAGTTTGTTTATAATTCGGCGTACTGTTTGACTGACGTGTCATAACTCCGTATGTGTTTATGTCATATTAATTTATTCGACTGTAAGTCAGTGTATGCACATTAAGCCACGGCGTAATTCACTACTATTCGATCATCGATATCTTCTGAATGTTGTCTAACGAGTGACTATTGTCATATTAACCAAATAGTGTAAAAAGTACTCACTATAACCGTTTGTTTCACCTCTTACAAGGCAATAGTGACTACTAATATGTCGTGTAATATTTATTCCAGCAACTTTGAGAAAAGTCAGTTGTTTTTTTTTAATTGTTTGGCATTTGTACAGGCTCAACAATCAATGTGGATTCAGGTGAATGGATAAATCGAATGAGTGGTCTCGGTGCTGGACAAGATTCATTTTTTGAATATTTACATAAAGTAAAATAAAATTTTAGCCTCTGTTACTAATCTTTTTCTGATTTCGTCTATATATATATAATGTCTTCATCGACAGAGATTTTCATAGATGTCTTGGCCCAAGTTACCAAGATCAAATTAATAAAATGCATAGCAAAAGAAATTGAAATCGCTTATTAGGGATAACATAAGAAAAATTAAGCATTGAAAATGAATTTCGAAAATACAGTGATAATGTGTATATGAAGGAATATTAGAATTCAAAATCGAGAACAATGTAACTAGTGAATTAGTCCATTCTATTTTGAATGGTTCTACGTCACTCAAAGTCTCCAATCTCTGGTCCTGATTATTGTGCGAACCCCAACCAGGTAGTCTAAATAAACCAAAATAGGTCAGACTATCAGTCAATGACTAATGCTACTTTTCGGTTTGACTCCTTTAAATTTCTCCTGACCGAACCCTATGTCAGCATATATATGTAATTGTTAGAGGATTGAAAACTTCTGGGTATTCTGACATCTTTTTTGTCCTATTCTAGGGAATGGTTAGTAGTGTTTAACCTATTGCCTACATGAAATGGAATCCGAGACAATCATTAAATCACGTGTTCTAGTCTCGTTTCTCTTAATTCAATGTGAGAGATCGAGTATGATTGTCGTTATTCGCTCGCCTAAATAGCGTAACCCAATATTTGTTTAAACAAGTTTGTGCCTAATAAATGAATTACAAAAAGGCCACAAAGAAAATTATTTCCAAATGAATTGATTATTGACAAATAATCAAAATGATCAATCATGGTTATATATCACACCATTCTCTGTTTAATATGATTTTCAGATTAAAGTTATTTTCCAAAAATATATAGATTGTTTTTAACAAATACCCTAATATTAGTGCACTGATATTACATTGATCGAGTTTACAATAAGGTTAGCATATCATCATTTCCAAGAAACATTAACTGTATTGTACACCAATAACCATATTGAAAGTTATATAACACCCACTTAGCATAGACACTGGAGAAAAAAAAATCTATATCATAATATTATTATCATTAAAGCTTATTGTAAAAATGAAATTTAATTAAATATTGTATATTCAGGATTTATTACCATCAGTACAAATTGAATCACAATATCAGATCATTTAACCCAATGGATTGTATAGCAAATCAACTGATAGGATGAACTGACTACTTATCAATCAATGGAATGGTTCATTTTTGTCCTTCAGATCTTTGGAAACCGGAATATTACAATGGTATCTCGTTTGAAATCCTATAGCATCGGCTAGAATCTCCCAAGCACATATATATATATACTCTCAATTTGTACCTTCTTATTCAGTTTTCGTTAATAATATTGTTCATTTTAGGCATATATTCTATTTGGTGATAATCAATTGGGGCAAATGTTCAATGAGGCATTAAGTAGTATTCAACATCATTTACGTACTGGTCGACCTCAATGTTTATCTGGTAGTGGTTCGCCACCAATCTATTGGAATGTTGATATGTCTTCTGGTAATAAAGTCAATCATTGGATAGATACATTACAGTCAGCCTGGTCTGGTGTATTAGTAAGTTTATTTCTTAATAATGTCATAATCTTATCAATTAAGTTATAACTCCTCCATCCTAGCAATATCGATGAAAATATTAACCTAAAAGTAAACACAAGAACTAATGTAACATAAAACACTCTTCAAAGGAAACTATATTAAACCTCCAACAGCTTTTTACCCTCTCCTCAACTCATTAGAAACAAACCAAAGTAAATGGTTCATTCACACCCTATCTGACAACGATATAGAGAAAAAAGTATGAGTATTTCTATAGTTATGTTAGTGTCTTTGAAGACCAGTTATTTAATATCAAAGTTTTATAGCGTCTGACCCAACTGCTTGCAGGCACCGTTTAAACATTCAAAATGATGATTTTCAAAGATATCCAGCTTTATTCTGGTTCGGGTTGAATTTTTTATGAAATAATACATTTCTCAACCGGTTGTTTACGGTTGACTCTTTTAATCAAACTGCTGCAACGTTATGGTGATCGAATTGCCTAGTTTATTTATGCATTTTGAGTACTATGAGCTTAGTCGGTAGTGTTGAGCAGGATAAGAATTTCAAGGAACAAAAAACTATTACTTCAAATTTGAAGCTTACACAAAATCAAATTTTTAATAGTGGTCAATTATATGGTCATTCATACGTAGAGTACAACCTTGTACATCTGTACTGGCTCATTTCACCACATCACATTAACACAGAGAGATAAAAACGTCTAAAACAAGGTCTATGTATCCAGAAAGAGACAGTAATAAATCTTTCTTTGTTCTGGTAGTATTACATCTTTTTGGTTACACCACTGTCATTTTTCTTTAATTCATAATTGACTGTTTTCAGCTCATATCTTTATTACCATTAATCTGTTCTCATTTAGTTCATTAAAAAATCATCTACTTTTTGTGAACTCTATGATTTCTTATCACTAGTTTGATGTTCAGGAAATCTCCTTCTCAAACTTTATTTATTTATCCGGAAACAAACGATTTTTGTGACCTTATTAACTATTGGAACCTTCGCTACATTATGATATACATATTTATGTTTGATCACCCTCGTATGTATAAGTATGTCGATATTTATTATAACTTTAATTTTGAAATAGTATAGGTTGTCAGCAGCTGACGAGGACTTCGCAACATAAAATGAACTAATATTATTCTGCACCAATCTTCATGTTTGCCCTCTTCGAGAAATAGCCCAGTCAGCTCATTCCGATTTGATCCTGAATAATAGCCAGGATTTTATCCCGCTAGTACTTGTATGCTTTTGAATAGTTCATAGTTTAATAATAGAAATAACAATCTATGCTGTTTACTTATAACTTCTCTCTATTTATTATGATTATTATTAATGTAGGTTCTTCATGGTGATCTAAATGAAGCAATTTGTCATCATGCTGTACATTATTTCATTTGGAAAATTTATGGTTTACCTCCAGAACGTTATAATATTATGACTGAGAAACCCGAACTGTACTTCTATCCACTTCGTCCAGAATTTGCTGAATCGACATACCTTTTATATAGAGCGACGAAACATCCTTTTTATTTACATGTTGGCAAAGATATTATGGATGGTATCAATAAATATACTAAGGCCGAGTAAGTTTCAAATATGTGGTTAGTAACTGTTTGTCACATAAGTTTAACTATAGGACTTGAGAAATAGACTATTGTAATGAGACTGGAACTGAACTATATTATATCTTGATGCCAGAAAGAAGACAAACATTGCTGAAAGATAAGGAACTATTTGTCTGTTAACAATTAAAAACGTTCTTTTATCTTACCGATACACTCATATGCGAATAACATATATTAACTACTTGTCAACAAAATTCGGACTGATTCGGTGCAAATGAGATATCGTACTCGATTTTGTAAAACCATAAGCCACGCTAAATTATGCACATTGAAATGTTATACAGAAATAGTAGTATCCTCAAGAAAATATCACTACTTGATGTCGCACTTGGCGGCCCCCTTAACACTTATCTACTCTAATTTGATTTTGTAGAGGATTCTTTCTAATTCGAAGGACAAAAGATGACATTTGGTGTACAAATTAAGTTGTCAGACACATGTACGAATAGCAAACAGACTTACTTTGGACACTACTATTTGATTGCATCTCCAGTCATTACTTCATTGCCTTGTTAATTAGACCTTTAGCTCAATGGCTTGTCACCTAAGACAACTGATATAACGTTAAGTTAGTGTGATAAATAATTTGACACAAACGGACTAAGTAAGCAAGAATGAGACACGCCTTAATCAATAACTTAGCGTATTCGACTCAGTATAGATTGATCGACAAAAAATATGCATAGAATACAACACAAAAAAATAAGGTACTATATATACATCATGTGTGTCAGTCCTACGATGTGACTAAGGATATAGTGATATATTTATTTGACTAATAGAAATACCATCCGACCAACTCGAATCTGTTAGGTTCAACGTGTACACGAGAAATTATCTACCTTATTTTCGGTTGTTTGTATAGTATCCTAGCCCTAACACACATAATGATTATACTAATGAGGACAATGAACTGCTTGTCATGTGCACTCACCCTATCTGTTTACGGTTACTTGTAAATTATCAGTTCAATATTATCATGCTACAACAACTTAATATTATACTTCATAGTTCCAGTCGTTTATAGAATAAGCTTAGGTAACTGTTAAAAACTAGGGAGTACTTAACAGCCGTTTTATTCTAGTATGAAACTTCTGATTGGTAGAAGTCTAAAACATCACCTGCGATCGAACCCAGGATATCCGGGTTGTGGGGTGAGTACTTAACCTTTAAGCATCCGTGTTGGCGTCCAATCATTTACATTTTAAATATCAGTCAATTCGCAATATTGTAGACCATTCTCTGATGCCGTTGGTGGATAAGTAGCTTGCACCCGACATGGTTGAATTCTACTTCTCACTCGAATTTCAAGAAATCACCTCTTGAAGATAGTCACTAATGGATACATTATGTTACTATTATATTATAATACTGTATAATAATATAATGTGCTTGCTTTGTTTCCCAGATGTGGATTTGCAACTATTCATAATGTAATTGATAAATCTAAAGAAGATCGTATGGAAAGCTTTTTTCTAAGTGAAACATTGAAGTACTTATATTTGGTAAGTTCAATAATACGGCTACTTACTTACGCCTGTTACTCCTCATGGAGAAGCATAAGCCACCCACCAGCACTCTCCATCCAACCCTGTCCTGGACAATCCTTTCCAGTTGTTATTCATCCTTTTCATATCTGCTTCTATTTCACGACGTAGTGTGTTCTTTGGCCTTCCTCTTTTCCGCTTCCCTTCAGAATTCCAAGTTAGGGCTTGCCTCGTGATGCAGTTTGACGATTTGCGTAGTGTACGTCCTATCCATTTCCATCGTCTTTTCCTAATTTCTTCTTCAGCTAAAAGTTGGTTTGTTCTCTGCCACAGTAGGCTGTTGTTGATAGTATCCGGCCTCAATAATACAGTTATTCAGCTATAATTCATTTAACCTTGAAGTTCTCTTTACTTCAACCTCACAAATATTTTGTCCTTAAAAAGAACATTTCTGTTAGCATATGAGTAAAAGATTTTGTAAAATGAAGAAATATCTGTTTAGTATTAAATAGAAAATAGATTAGACAACATGCGTGTCTTGTTGGGGAATGGAGGTGGTTACTTCGTGAAGAACAATTGAAACTGTCCTATACTTCGTGTCTTGATAGTGCAGGAAATAATTTACTAAGTGCTGCCATTTTAAAGTAATAGATGTTGTCCCTTGATCATGTTCATGCATGTTTTCTCAGTGACTTTTGTACATATTAAAAGACGATAAAATATGTTTGAAAATGTATGGCGACCTGCTTAAATATCTGGGCTACCTGTTGCTGCCATCTAGATGTTTCAACAAGTTATCTAATTTTACTTGTTTTAATAAACCCTTATGGCTATTAATCGCACAACCTATTCAAGTGCGTTTCTGAAAAGTGTACAACCTTTCGTTGTATAAGATACAAAAGATCCAGTCAGAGATATCGTGGTTGCTGGCAATATACAGCGAAAAGAATGTACATTATTTAGATGTCGATTGACTGAATTGCTAACTTCTAACTGGCGATCACTCAATATTTATCGTCAGGATCTACCAAGAAGTAAAAAACGGAAACCTGTTGAAATACTTTGTGCTGAGAATTCTATATTCTACCAAAAGTATAATCTTGAATAAAGCTAATAATAATATTGACAGTAATAATATTTCATGGAAATTTGACTCTAATTACACAAAATAAAGAATTTGTAAGAGTCATAGTTTTAAATTTTTAGACCACAGTATAGTAGGTTCAGACGTTATAATAATTACATTCTATATATTCGTTTTCTAAGGTCATTTTCGAAAATACATAACTAATGACTTACCCAATCATCATTGAATGGAGTGTGAGTATACATAGAGTAGGTCAAGAATTCACGGTTGGTGCGTAGTACCAGTTCGGCCTAAATATATATTTTGTATTGCTTCCATTTATTACATTACTCTTCGGTTTACTAGTTTATTAATATTTTGCCTTGGGTATCTGGACTCAGGGCATAACATAACACACTATGGAAGATTTTCAGTTTTTCAAAAATTATTTTCATCTTCTGCAATACTGTTATTCTCCTCCAGTAAATTTGGACTTTTCTATCTACTGGAATTTCCCGTATGATAAGATGTCCTTCATTTTTACGGCAACTGAAAGTGATACTCCATGTACTACCGTCGTCGTTGTAAGATGCTGACCCTGTTTATGCATTTATGCGCGATTTATGTTCCGCATGTTGCCCTTCTAGGATTGCTGCCGGTCCGGAGCCCGGATGAAGGAGGAGGCTTGAGGATGGGTTTCGTAAACATCCCATAGAAAACAAAATTGCTAAATGAACGCTAACCAGAAAAATTCATTTAAACTCTACCGTGGGAGTCAAAGGATCTTCATTTAGAAGAGTTATGACGCCTCATAATGGAAGCCCAGATTCTTCGAAAGTCATGAGGCCGATGCCCCTTCCAACAACTAGACCAGCAATTAATATAGGTACATGGAATATCGGGACAATGTGGGAGACCGGGAAGACTAATCAAATAGCTACGGAAGTCAGGAGATACAACTTGGTGGTGTTCAGAATAAGTGAAACCGATTGAACCCTATCTGGACACAAAAGACTAGATTCGGAAGAGTTGTTGTTGTACTACGTTCATGAAGAAGGAAATACCTCCCACACACAGTGAGTTGCACTGATGTCCAAAGAGGCACGATAAGCACTTAAATAATGGGAATCCCATGAACCCGTAATCATCAAAGCATCTTTCAAAACAAAGAAGGAAGTAATCGCAAAGAGTGTTTTCAGTGCTATACACTCACCAATGATATCAATGACGACAATTAAAATCAGTTTCATGGAAGACTGCTCAGGAAAGGACCTGACCATCCTGATGGGAGATCTAGACGTCAACGTCGGAATGAACAACACCGGGTATGAAATTATCATGGGACGACATGGACTGACTGGGAGAAAGGGACGAGAATGGTGAGAGACTTGCACACATTTATGTGCATTCAAAAAGATGATTATAGGCAGTACAATATTCTCCCACAAACGCATACACAAAGCTGTATGGGTCTCACTGGACTTCACTACAGAGAACTAGGTCGATCATATTTACTTCCGTAAAAAATTCAAATGGTCAGTGAATGATGTGAAAACAAAGGGGGCGGCTGACCTAGCTTCAGACCAACACCTGGTGGTTGCCAAGACGAAACTGAAGCTAAAGAAGCAATGAACAACTGGACAAACAGAATTAAGATTTAATTCAGCCTTCCTTCAAGATACTAACGAACTCAACGAATTCAATATAGCTCTGAATAACAGGTTCCAAGCCTCACAATATGTACTGGAAGAAGAAACTACTATGGAGGACAACTGGAAAGGTATCAAAGAAGCACTAATTTCAACGGGTCAGGAGATGCTGGGGCGCAAGAAGCATCATCATAAGGAATGGGTCACTATCGAAACCCCGGGTATGATTCAAAGAAGGAAGAACAACAGACTAACAAGAGCAGAGAAAGCCGAGCTTCAGACCGAATACACAGAAGTAAATAAAAGAGTAAAGAATAGCATTAGAGCCAACAAGCGAAAATACATGGAAAATCTAGAAATGAGAGCGGAAAAGCTGCGAGATAAAGCAATATGAGACAGCTATATGATGCAACGAAAAGACTGTCAGGAAAATATAGTAAATCAGAGCGGCTAGTGAAAGATGAAGAAGGCAAGCCAATCACTGAGATTGAAGAACAGTGGAACAGGTGAGTAAAACGCTTTAAAGATCTCTTGAACAGACCAGCCTATCAGTTTGTGTTCTGTTGTCTCACTTGATCGATGGTTCGAATTCGATTTATCAAAAACTATCTAGATAGTGAATTGGTCACAGAATAAATATCCCAAGAAGCCACTCGTTTTCATCAACACACCACATATGCCGATAACTTATCAAATCATCCTTATTTACATATGATTATTTCTGTAGGTTTTTTTCATTTCAACATCTCAATATATTTGGGAAGTTAATGGAAAGATGGATCTAGTAACAGATTGAGATCTTCATATTTGCATTGATGTTTTGTTCTTATTAAGCCCTAATCAAATGTATCTCATATTCCACTACCTATCCAGGGTCTAAAGTCGAATGAACGTGTAAATCTAAATATTAGAGTCAAGCTAATTGAATTCCCACCAAATGCCTCGGTACGGATGAGAGTGGGGAGAGTTCGCTCTCCCTCTCGAAATTCTCTCACATGGCCACGTGTGTACAGCCACTGACAGGGAAGTCTTAGTCACTGCCTTCTCGCAAACATTACTGTTGTTTACGAAATTGAGAGGACGAAAAGCGAGTGTCCGGCGCTTTAACCGGGTTGGTGGATATAAAGGATCCACCTAGGGGAGTTGGGAAACCCTGATTCTGAACCAGTGGTTCACATGGGCTCCCGAATCCTGGGGGGGGGCAAATGACGTGTGAACCCATTGTTGGTTACCGGCTACCATGGAGCTACATCTCCTCACGCTGCCTCACTGCCTTATGGATTAGACCTTTAGATCGAAGGCTCCGAGTATGGCCTCCTAAGGAGTCCGCCTGCTTCGGTTCGGGCACCCGGGCAATATCACAGCCCTCACACAAATCAAATAAGATTTGTTTGGCGCATATGTATCTAGTGCCCCCTTGTACCAGTATTTATGTGTTCAAATAAAATAAAATAAAAATAACTAATTGAATTCATAAAAAGTTGACTAATTCACTTTTAAATTTTTGGTAGAGATCATGAATTAATCGATGTTAGACCACCGTTTGAAACCTGGAAGCACTGGACGGCCGTTTCATCCTAGTATGGGACTCCTCAGCAGTGCGCATCCACGATCCCGCACCCCGCGGGATTCGAACACAGGACCTACTGGCTTTGCGCCTGAGCACTTAACCATTAGACCACTGAGCCGGCATCCAATGGTGTTAGTGTCTAACATCAACCAATCCACGAAATTGCGCGACCACCTTCCATTGTACTGAGGTAGATACCTGTCTCTACCCGACACGGACTAGCTCCACTGGTCACGACTTCTCACTAGAACTCCGAGAATTCCCTCACGAAGCTAGTCACTAGTGAGCACATGTTAATTATCAGTATGGGGGTTGTGGATATTGTTAAGTTTTTGGTTGAGATCATCATCAACAACACATTATGAATAAACCCTGAAAAATTATCAATCATTATCACTGTAATTACCATTACATTTATTCCTTCATTTGATTTTTTTTCGTAGTTATTCGATGAATCTAATCCTGTCAATGTGAATGAATATGACTATGTATTCAGTACTCAAGCACATTTATTTCCAATTAAACGAATTCAAAATCTAGTGAAAAATCTTCATATGAATCCATTTTCTTTCCTCAATAACTCTCAGGGTTATGAATTTGTGAAAAACAGCTCTGTAAGTATTTAATTTCTTATTCATGCTTTGAATTATTACTATTATTATTATTATTATGATAATCAGCTGTCATTGGGAGAATGACCATTTATTTATTCAGAAACGTAGGACCTAGAACATGTATACATCGCAACACAGTGATAAAATTAACAAAGCCAATC